CATAATTTTAATGAGCAAATCCGTGTGTCTCCTCTGCACAGTAGTTGAAGACACAGGATTGTAAAAGCACTCTTTGTTTTGTTATAAACCTGTATGTTTTGATAACTGTAGTATTGGAAACCTGTAGAAGAAAATGAAGATCCTACTTTTATGGTATATTTTACTAGATTTGTTACTATTCCCTATTCAGGTATGGCCAAAATTCATACTTGGATATTTGCATATCTCGCTGCTTCAAAATTCCTCCCCCAGAAGTAATTTACAGGTGATCGTTTGCTATTGTGTGCTCTAGCAAGTAGCACTGCAACATGGAGTCTTCATTTCACTGTGAAATGTCAACCCCAAAATTAGAGAGGTCTTTTCAGTGAGTGCTAATTGAAATACTCTAGAACATTATATAATCTTTGCTATCATGGTAGATTTAATTTTATTCAACTCTTTTGTGTTTCTTCTTATTTGTATATATTATGGCTCAACCAGGATTGCCTTGAAAACATGCCAGTTGGCAAATGGAAATGCTGCACTTTTTAAAAGGGCCTTGTAAAATGTGTAGGAGAACTCTAGTTCCTCTCTAAAGTGGCTTTATGGAGACACCAAGCCAAAATGAAGTAATCTGGTCATTAGCAAAGACTGACTCCAAGAGTATATGGAGTAAATCAACATCTCTGGTGTCCTTTTGAACAGAAACACAAGTTAATTCTACACGTAAGTAAGAAAAAGATGATGCAGTTCAATGGCATGTGGTGTTACATTTGTGTATTAAGTAGTAATTTGAAAAGTCTTGGCTGGTGTGATATGAAAATGATTTGCTTTAATCGAGCACCTTTTATACTGCAGATACAAGTAAGTCTAAGCTGTTGTGGTGAAAAGGAAGTCATTGCCTGTTTAAGCAAAACAGATAAGAATAGCTGCAGTACTGTCTTGGGTGCCTTTGGCCTTTTATGTGCTTGAAATCAAAAAGAATGACATGTAGGGTTTATTTTTCTTTTTATGAAATGTAAGAGACTGTAAGTACTGGCTTTCCTGAAGAGGGCCTTGATTTAAAATAAAGGTTATAAAAAGCATTCAAGTGGTATGAATTTACCTCAGCACTATTAACACTGGTTTAGAGTCCAGTTTTGCCTCAGATATAGGCCTATGATTTGAGATAAGAAGTAGGGATTTGGTGTAAATACCACGTGTTTATAGTTCCTGCAACGTATTATGAGTAATTTTGGTGGAAAGTTGCCAATATTAGAGCAAAGGAATCCAACTTCTAATTTCAGTTCTGTATTAAAGCTACTATCCTTTGCTTTATTTGACTTTCAGCTTTTTAATATACTAAATAATTTCAGAGCTAAACTCCTTACTGCTTTTTCTTCCAATACATCTGTTAATTCTTAGATGTGGATTACTGCTGTAGTGTCTGGTAGTTGCCATAAGAGGGCTTTGAACAGTAAAATATGTGAAACTTTTCAAGCCTTGGTTTAGGTTGCTAAGAGGAAACCACATAAATCCTTTCCATAATGGAACATGTGACAGTGATAACCGGTTTCACTCCAAAAGAGGGTCTTTTTATCATGTTAGAATTATGATTAATAAAAGCACAGATTGTTTTGAACATACTGATGTTTATACAGGCCCTCTCTATCACCCCTATATTCTGCCCCCACATCCCCAGCTTCATATTAACCTATTTTTTTTCTCAGTCTTTTCCCACTCTCCTCCGTCCAACATATTGTGGGTTTTGTCTAATAAAATGTCAGCATTTTTTTCACTTGATTCCAGCTGCTACTTTGGTAGAAACCAGGGATCTGACTTTCGCTGGTTCCCTGAGGGCAGATTTTATCTTCTCCCTCATGTCTTTGCTCCTGAGTGAACTTCTGCTCCTTCTCTTTTGCTGCTAGGAGACTTCAGAGAGACTTCTAATTGCAGGTTGTCCAAGCCAGCTGAAGGACAGATTGGTTAGAGCAGTTATTCTCCGGGTGTGGTGTCAGAGGTGCTTATTTCAAAGGTTGTGTTATCCCATTTCTTTTTAGTAAACCTGCACAATTACAGATCTGAAGACCTGCTTTAATTGTTCTTGTCAGGAGGTTTCTGAGAGGTTTGTTACATTGCCAGCGAGGAAGGTGCTTGGGCATCTACTGTCTGAGCATATGCTGCTTCTTAAAAGGAAATAAACACAGATGCCTTAGCTGCAAGCACCTTCAATCAGACTAGTTGTTTGAGTCCATACAATTCCAAATAACACTTTTTTATTTCTTGATTATTTAAGCTTGTTGTTATACAGGCAAAAGTTGTGGCTGATCGCTGTACTTGCTTTTGTCAGACTTGTTGCACGTCGATGATAAATTGTGAACTGTTCATGTGGTTGGTGTTTTGTACTCCACTGTTGGCTTTTATTCTTAGTCTTTTTCTGCATTAAAGTGTGGGTGGTGAGAATGAATTTTTTAAAAATAAAAGAACATTTTTCTCTGCTGTTGACTCTAGATGTCAGCGAGACATCTAGACTGATTTGTGAGAATATATTATCGAAGGTGGAAATGTTATCATATGATAAAAGTTGATTTCAAAATGAAAACTGAGGAGATGTTGATAGACAATATATTAATAATTACCTCCCTGTTCTAAAATCCTGTGAAAACTCAAAACATTTTGTAGGAAATGTTTATCTTCCCTTCTTTATACCATTAACTGTTCCTCATCTACTGTGCTTTTTCCTTGCAAAATCTAACACTCCAAACCCGAGTTCCTGAACAGAGGGTGACCTCGTGCCAGAGACACTCACTTCTTTTTTCCCTTTGTGTTTAAAAATTCCAAAATAACTGGAATCTTGATATTTTTTCCTTCCTGTTTTTTAGCACATGCCAGTGCTTAAAGTGAAGTTCACTTGTAAATGAAACGCAGAAGTAAATTTTGCCCAGGGTTGCAAGCTGGCCATTTTTGTGTGAAGCTTTTGTTTAAGCATGCTAATAGTTATCCTAGCAAATTTTATCTGTG